TTCCGAATTCATTCAAAATATGCTAATTTAAAATACATATACTTTCAGTGTTCCTCCGGTGTTTTTGGGCATGGACTGTTTCTTCAATTTAATAGTGTTCGCTTTATTTTTGTGGAAACGAAACATAATTTGCAAGTTATGGATCATTTCTACATTCTTTCTTCAAATATTTCTCGTATTCCAGCTGTGCGCAGGCGTTTAGTTTTTCACATCGTGTTTTTACATATTCGTAATTTAATTTTTTTTAATAAAATCAAATGGTGGTAGTTCATGATTGTGTGTGGATTAATATCACAACACTGAGGATTTGGCAATAACCTTTGTCATATATTAAAAAACAACACTTACGCAATGTTTATTGCAAGAACAACATTTTTTTCTATGAATCGACATAATTTAAGCATTGTTGACGCTATTTCCATTTGAATGATTTTTATGATGTTTATTTCCAAATTTTTGTTGACTTTAATTCGCTTTTGATCTTGTTACCTGTCACCAAAAATTTACATATTCGTCTAATTTGGTTACTTTATGTTATCAACATAACATACCCAATTCTCCGCAAAAGACTGTTCAAACCCCGATTGCTACCTAAACCGAAATTCCCGTCCAAAATCGCTTAAGCGGTTACAGCGCCAAATATGAAGAAAAATAAGTATGTCGCTTTCTTATTTTTATAGAAATCTTTTTATTTTTGCTGGTTTCTTTGTTTTCATATAAATAGGTACATATTCTTCATATACATAACGTCACTAGACACGAATAAAGGCACGAGCTCAAACGTTGACCGCGAAAAAAGACGCATAAAAAACTTCTGCGAAGAAGACTCATAGTTGACGGCGAAGAAAGACGCGTATACTTATTTTCGCGGGCGACTATGTTTGCGGGTGTAACAGTATATAAATTCCCCAAAGAGTCTTTAGGGAGCGATGCTGAAGGCACAGTCCTTGGCCAGGTATACTAGGTTTCATGTGTTTCTTCGCCGAAATTTTCCTTAAGCGTCTTTTTTCGTAAGATTTTTTTTACATGTCTTTTTTCGCCGTCAAAATACTAGCGCGCCTTTATTCGTGTGTAGTGACGATAAGCATATACATACATATGCATGTACATACATACACATTCAGTGTGAATGCTTTGATATCGGGACGGGATATTTGGTGAACCGAGCTAGCGTTATTGTGATTAAGTACAAGTTTATATACCCGGCGCAGGTACTAAATACCGTCGTTTCAACTTTCGCTAAACTACCTTTGCATGATAATCAGGACTGTTTTTTCCGATTTCAAACGTTTTCGATTATATGCTAAGTTAGACTTAATGATATAATTGAACAAAGTTTGGTCGTAATCGATAAGGTGGTTACCGAGATATACCTTTGTAG